TGGTTGGGGGGTGGTGGAGGGTTGGGTGATGGGGTCCTCCGCGATGGGGTCCTCCGCGATAGCTTTGGCGAGCTGCTGAATGTCATCGGGTGCTGCGTCTATTTGCGTGGCTGTAGATTTCGGTTCTTGAGATGGTTTCGAGGAACCAAGGAGCGTCTTTCCTCGCGTCGTACGGAAGACATTGATGTCGATGCCTTCTGGTATCTCTTCAGCTGCAGTATCCTCCAGCACAGCTTTCTGCGTATCTGCACTCGCGGTACCGAATGTGTCGGCGTTGATAGACCCATCCTCCGATCTTTGTACAGCAGAACTTCGTTGCGGTATGACCACCTTGGTCCGTTGGTCCTCCAGTGGAGATTTTGCAGTCTCTGTAGCTGGAATTCGACCATACGTGTCATATCCTGCCGTCTCTTCCCTTGCATCCAACCCTTCTGACGGAATTGTCCCGTCTGGAAGTGCATGTCTACCAGCCTGTTCCTGCGACGGCTTGAGATCCGAAATCGGTGCCGGTTCGAACGCTGCATTCTTCTCCGACGGCTGGTAATGATGGTCTTGATTTATCCCCGAGGCATCTTTCGGTCGCTCGCCTGTCGAAGCCTGCCCTCGCGGACTCGCACTTCCATCCGTCCCGTGTGTCTGCGGACCCGTTGTCCCGCTGTTGATTGGCTCTTCTGCCAGTCGCTGTGCGATCGCGATGGCGGCACTGAGAGTCACAGTGACTCGATCCGTCTGGTTCTTCGCGGCCTTGGCGAGGGTGGATGTCTTTGCGAATACGTCATATTGGCGACTCCGGAGGTCGAGGTGAGCTTTCGCGATGTGTCGGGTCGCGGAGACGAGCTTGGAGACGTCGAGGACTCGTCTGCCTGCCATTGGTAGCGGTGCTCGGCTTTTAATGTCACCGATCCATTCCCCTGGAGTACTGGTTACCTGTTTGCCAGGTCAGACATTCAGTCCACGCTATGAGGACCCGGGTTCTATCGGGAGGGACTTGCCTTGGAGATATCACCAGGAGTATTGAGCCATTTTCATTCAAAATTGCCGGCAATGCTTGTTGGACAGACCTGCCTCAATACACTGCTCAGCAGGAAATATAATAGAGATAAATTGACCTATTGTACTAGAAGACAGACATCGCCAGAGGTTAGAATTGCCTCCGTACCCCATTACTCAAGATCGTGAAATATTTGGGGCGGCTCTTCTCCGATTGGTCAGTAAGGTTTCCAATATGAAGATCCCTGATGACTGAACCGGACTCTGTAATCTCTATGAACGACCCAACTTCACGATAACTCCAATGAGATCAATATACCAAATAATAGAACTTTACACATGGTTCTAGAGTACACGGGTTACGAGGCCGAAGTACGTCATAGTCAACTCTAAAGCATACCATTGACTGATGCATGAAGCATGTTCATATTGGACATCCACTATACCTATCAACTCATAGAGGAATAATCGGAATACTGGTATTGATACTCCCCAGCCACATTCTATTCAAAGACCCTTCATGCCAGCTACTTAACATTCAAATCCCATTATCCAATTACTCAAAAAGGAAATTCTAACAGCGCCGTTCCTTTGATAGCGTCAACGAGAATCGCCCTCCCCCACCACTCCAAATCTTCTGGTGTAGAAACATGACCTCCAATTCCTAAAGCGGTCCTAAATAAGCTTAACCGTCCGAGTCGGACACCGAGATCGACCCGATATCTCCATCATGAAAGTCGCAATCCTGCAAACCGCGCCCAAGCTGGGGGAAGTGCAGCAGAACATCGCCCAAGCGGACTATCTGCTCAGTGGGCTCACACCAGGCAGCGTGAAGTGGTTGGTTTTGCCGGAAATGGCGTTTTCTGGTACGCACGCTTTTCTCTGTTCTACGATGGCGAGCGGGCATGGCTTACACCTGAAAAGGCTACAACTTCCCGTCCACGGAAGCAATATCACCCTACCTAGAACCAACCGCAGCAGGCGTCTCAACACAATGGGCCACGACAACCGCAAAGCGACTGCGCTGTCACGTCACAGTCGGCTACCCCGAAACGACCGTGACAGAGCCCAAACGGCACTACAACTCCACCGTCACCGTCGGCCCCACCGGGAACATGGTCGCGCACTACCGCAAGACGTTCCTCTACTACACGGACGAGACATGGGCGAACGAAGGCACCGGGTTCTACCACGACGATCTATACGAGCTGGGCGACGTCTGCATGGGAATCTGCATGGATATCAACCCGAAGCAGTTCCAAGCGCCCTGGGACGCCTACGAGTTCGCGCACCACGCGCTGTCGAGCGGCGCGCCGCTGGTCGTGCTGTCGATGGCGTGGCTCACACGGCTGACGCCCCAGGAGCTAGAAGAGCTGCCCTATCAACCGGACATGGAGACGCTGGCCTACTGGGTGGAGCGGTTCTATCCGTTCCTAGGGACGGCGGGTGGGCGGCCGGTCACCTTGGTGATTGCGAACCGGTGCGGGCAGGAGGGGGAGGCGTGCTATGCAGGGAGCAGCACGGTGATTTCGATCCGCGAGGGGAAGGCGGCCGTCTACGAGATCTGCGGGAAGATGGAGCAGCGGTGCTTGGTGGTCGATTTGGCGCAGGTGAGTCCGATGCGCAGGTATGGGAACGACGAGGCTTACGGTTGACAGGCTCCGAAATTGGCGATTCAACATGGCGGGGCTGCGTGAGTGAGTGGTATTGAGAAGCGGTCCGGATCGGTTCATTTGTAACCAGCCATGCAATTTGTGGGAAGCCATAACATTCAAGTAGGGTCATGCTCGAATGTACAATCATAGAGTGATATCCACCGTTCTCCCCCGAAGGTGTTCCAGGGTTGTGTCGATGGCCACTATCCTCCGCTCCCGTTCTTGCTTTTGAAACCACATCCTTCGAATCGTTTTGTCATGCTGTCCATGATGGCCCCGAAAAAGGAAAATCCGCCGGCGCCGAGAATGAGATGCAGTTCGAGAGGGGATCGAAATCAGATTCCGATGCGGGTCTTGCGCCAATGTCTCCTCTTAGCGTTGTACCTGCAGTTCTTCTCGTCAGTATTCTACCCTATCCTAATGATTCTATCTCTCAAGAAGGATGGATGTGAGGGATTCCGCACCGAATGGTATTGTTGGTTCGGAGACGGATCCATTGAGGAATGGGCCTGTTCTGCTTTTGGGCCTTCGCAAGCTTCTGCTTGGTTCGGAAAGACTTGTGGGACTATGGCGGCATTAATATCATCTGAAGCATCGACGGATGGATTCGAGAACGTACCGGCATCGTTGCGAGTGTTGACGATGCAAATTGACGATGATTGTGCGGTCGCAGTTGATGAGAGTGGGAGGAGGCGTTGTGTGGGTGAGGATTTTGGAGGAGAGGCTTGGCACAGTGTGGAATCGGTAAGAGAACGCTAGGCCGAATTGGGTTAGTGTCACAACCCCAACATTGCTGCTGACATTTCTCAAGAACATTTGATATTTGATAATTGATGCACGTTTGGAAGATACTTCGAGTTACAAATACTAAAAGGATATGAAATGATCAAGTTGCGCTTTGGATGCTTTGATTGAGTGCGATAGTTTGTCGTCCTTCATTTTGATGTTGGGCATTTTCTATTCATCCCGACCACTTCACCCATCATGCTACTGCCGTTTTCATTCGTTGAGTAGTCCTTCCTTCGTGTATTGTTATTCCTGTCCTCCAGCTGGCTTGATTTTGGCACTAGAGACATCTTGGTACTCTGGCGTTATCCCATAATCGGTAGTCATGGCGCGTAACTGGGTCCTCCACCGTGTCTGCGACACCCCACCATTCATGACCGCCGAAGATCTATCTACCGCCACGCCCTACAGGCTCAGCGTCTTCCACCAAAGCCTCAAGTTCATCTTCCTCGTCCGCGTGACCTCCCTCCCCGCCGGCCTGTACCATGACCTTCGCTCGTCGCGACCCGAGTCCGTGCCGGATCGGCTGCGGAACGCGCTGCTGTCGGGGGACTACATGGACTCTGGGTTTGTCGACGAGTACTTGGAAATTGTGGATGAGGTGAGCTGGCGGATTGGTGGGTATCCGCGAGAATGCGTGAAGGTCTGGAGATCTCTTCGGGAGGCGGTGGCGCTGGTGACTGGGCAGCAGATCGACGTAGACGCGCCGAAGGATGTCGTGATTGAAGATGCGACGCCGATCTTCCGGTTCGTGGACCTGCCTCCCTCGATCAAGACGCGGATCTATCAGATTTGTCTTCGTCGAGGGAGGGTTAGCGTAGGGGATTGGTCGACATACAGTGTTCCGACGACATTGAAACGGCGGACGGAATATGAAGTGGATGTTGGCGATTCGCGAGTAGTGCGCAAGAGAACCACATATACGTGTCGGCTATTAGGTTCTGGGACGTGGCCTATTGTAGCTTTGTTTCAAGTCAATCGATCTGTTGGAGAAGAAGCGGCGACGATATTTTACGGAGAGAATCAATTTCGGTTTCTTGGTGGGCCGGGTGACCCTTAAGTCGTATGCATATGAGACTAATGGTTGATAGGTACCGCAAAGTCAACGCTTGCATTCTTGCATGATAGGATGCCTCGATTGCGGTATATCCGTAACATGAGCATGCGGTTCTGCACCGACGCATCCATCAAGTTCAAAGGCTGCTACAACATCACCGGATCCATCCCCCCGGCTCCCCGAACCTTCATCGGCGCTTGGAGACGCATGTAAGCTACCCTCTCCTGAGCCAGAATCGACAATAACAGCCCAGTTTCAACGCCTTGGTCCACACGACACCAGGTCTGAAAGCATTCGAGCTCCTGATCGACAAAGACTTCTGGTGGCATGCCCCATGGTACAACGGCGCCGAGGCCGTCTTCACCACTCCAGCGCTAGGTGAACCGCACGGCATCCGACACTACGAGGGCGCGCGGAACTTCCTGCAACACGTCGCGCGGCTTGCAGAGGTGGAGATCCGCCTGACGATCGACGAGACCGAGGAAGACGAAGAGAGGGGAACGGTTCGAAGGGAGCTGGATGCGTTGATGAGGGCGGCGGCGGCGACACGGCCGTGGCTGGCGCTGGATGAGTATCCGGCGTGTACGTGCGGGAGACGGCTGTTGTTGAGCGAGAGTTGCATTTGGGATAAGTATGAGGCGTGGCGGCGTCCGCGATGAGCAAGGGGCAGTTTATCGGGGAACTCAAAAGGGAAAATGAGTCGATGACTGAAGAGTGCCCTGATTGGTAACTTTTATTGGAAAGAAAAGGGTAATCCCAAACGCCTCCCTGACTACCATCCCAATCCATCCCAAACATCCCGAACATCATTAATCCTGACTCCATTATAATCATCCAGATCCGAGACGATTTCACGCCTTTCCCACCGCACCCCCCCACGTCCTCGGATTCAAAAAGCTCAGCTTCCCCCCGATCCCCCACCCCCTCCCTCTCAACCACGCCGCCCCCCCACTGACCCCACTCCCCGTCGTCGACGACCGCCCATAACCCCTCGACGACTCCTCCCACTGACTTGACCACTTCATCTTCCCCTCCGCGATGGAATGAATAACATTGATGACCCCGAACGCCGAGCTGCCGACCGCGCGGAATAGCGCTAGTGCCGCCACCGCCCACAGGATGGCGGTGAGGTAGTAGTTGTTCGCGACGTGTGTGCTGCTGTACGCCTCGCTGACGGCCATGGCGAGGATGGCGTTGGCGCACAACCACACGAGCACCATGTAGGTGCGCACTGCACGGTAGTAGTCCTCCTGAGCCTGGACGTCGCTGATGCCGGGCTTGGCGACCTCGAGGCGGTCGCGGAGGTTGCGGAGCGCTTCGTCGTAGCAGGAGTCGATGTCGAGTTGCTCCGAGGGCATCTCGACCTCGACGACGTTGTTTTTTCCGGTGCCGCGCGCGGAGCCGAGATTTGTGCGGCTGATGTTGTCGCCTTTGGTGCCCCAGGTGACGTCGTGGGCGTTGCAGAAGGCGTAAACTTGCAGGGTGCAGAGGTAGCTGGGGAGGAGAGCGAAGTACTGCGCGGAGGAGGTGAACATATGCCAGGGGTCGAGGTAGAGGAAGGACATGATGAAGTAGAGGCCGATGGTGGAGAGGGTGGAGACGACGAGGTTGGTGAAGAGGTTGTTGCCTATTCCCAAGGTTGAATCAGCGTTTTTTAGCTGCTTGATGACGATGTAGAGACTGGCGAACGTCGTGTATGCCATGACGATGGAGTAGATGACCATCGACGCGAGGAACATGCGCTTGGCTCCTTGCGGTCGATTTCCCATCGACAAGATGAACTGCGTGCAGATTAGGAGGATGGTCGTGTAGCGGAGGATGAAAAAGATGATTTTTCCAATCCCATGACCAAACGGGTCCATCTCTGGATCTCCGAGGGATCCAGCAATGAAGTAGAAGGTGAGGTAGAAGTTTGCCTATATCGGTAAGTGCTTGCTCAGTATTTCATAGCGGAAACTTACTAGTGATAGGTATGTGAAGACGAGTTGAATTGCCTGGTAGACGAATTCGATATGCAAAAGGATTTTGCGCCAGACCGAATGATCCGTCCTCCAGATCTGCTTGAAATGGAGGAGGGAGTACACCGCGGCGAAGAACGCGCCATTCAACCAGCGTCTTCTCTGAGAAATAAATTCAGGAACGGCATCTTTTAACGGCTGTCAGCGTTATCTCTTCCCCATTTCTAGAGATATTGCTTACCTGGCACGTCCGTCTCGCCTTTCGCACTCCGAACATACTTCAACACCCATCTCTCATTCCGCTTCGCGACCAGCTCCCAACAGAGAATACGATCTTCCGCAAGATACATGTTGGCGGTGAAGACATCCGCATCCTGTCCATGCAGGGTCTCGCCCTTGAAGTACTGACTGAGCGGCCCATGCCCCGTCTCGTCGTTCTGCAAGGCGTGGTATCGATATGCACTCAGCGCACCCGGAAGGACCGTGATGTACCCGAACACCGACTCGAGCGGCTTGTCGAGGATATTTGACATCTTGTACTCGAAGTTCTGCGACGCGACCAGAGGATTCAAAAGACCGAGCCATCCTTTGCCTTTCCCGGCTACGATCTCCCCTGCGGCACCGGCGACGTTCGAGTCGGTGTCGAAGGCCTTCCACAGATGGTAGAGCGCGGTGTTAGCCGGCTTGGTGCCGACGTCGAGGAGAATGCAGACGTTGGGGTTCAGGGAGCGGCCGAAAGCGTTGAAGAACCAGCGATGGGAATTGAGTTTCTTCTCGTTGCGTTCTTTGAGGCAGAAGATCATCTGGCATGGAACGATGCCCTTTTCGGCACCTTTGAACTTCAGGTCGCCGTCCAAGGAGACTTGCGTCGTGTATTCGTATACATGCGCAGTAACTTCCTTATCATTAACGGTGTTTTTCGCAATTCCGTTCTGGTAGACTCCCATCGCAGCCAGTGCGTCGAGTGTCCTCGGATGGACATTCGCACGGCCATCCGCAACGACGCAGACGACGATCTTCTGCCACCCGTCTTTACCCCACGTTCGACTCTTCTGTCTCGAGCAGAAGTGGCTAATGTTGCGCATAATCCCGTGCATCGTGCGCGTGAAGCCGATCTCGTCTTCGTTGTACATGGTCACGCAGATGAACAGCTCTGTTTCTCGTAGTGTCGTTCCGAAGTTCTGTCGCAGCTTATAACCTTTGTCGACGAAATCATCCGGATCGCAGGTCACGGCGGTGTAGCGCATGTGAGTAAACTCAACCTCGCTGCGCTGGGGAAGGAAGCTGTATAGGATGGTTGGGATCTTGCACTCAAGAATCAGTTCACCGTTGACAAGGCGTACTTCTTTCTTGGTCATCAGAGCCTCTCTCGCGCCGCGCCGAGTTTGAGCTCCGTCAGGCGCCGGTCCATAGTTCTCAGCGAACTCCTTCTCCGGGTAGCTGTCCGATGTGAATGTGTCTTCTGACATGAAAGATTCTCTGTTGGTGAGATCCGGACGAGTTCTAGTCCCGCCGATCGACGAACCGAACGGGTCGTCACCGTCGTTGATCGGGATCGTGGTCATGTCGACACCACTCGCAGAATCTCTTGAGATCGGCCTACCTCCCGCAAACAATGGCGCGGGCGGCAACGGCCGTTTCGGGCTGCCGCCATAGTGCGAAGATGGCGTGCCGGGCCTGGGGCTGCCGTTGATGTCGACCGGTTCATATGGCACGTTCGATGCGGGCGGACGGGTCCAATCTCCGGTCGAAGCACGGGACGGCGTCCATGAGCGAGTGGGCGAATGGCGCGATAGAGATGACGGCGACCGCGAATGCATGTACGGCGGTGCATCCGTCTGTGGCGGGGGGATATCGGGGGCGTGGTCGAGGACGGATCCGGAGCGCGAATGGCTGAGCGACGAGATCGGGCGGCGGTAGGAGCGGATCGGGGAAGGTCTGTTGTTGCTTGCATATGAGTTGTTGTTCTCTTCGAAGGAAACTTGATTACGGAGAGGAGAAGCATTCGGCAAGCCGGGAGATTTGAGATGATTAGCACCGCGATATGTCTTCTGGTCTTCGGCCATGAACGTCTGCTTGGCTTCGTCCAGAAGCTCTTTGAGAGCTTTCTCGACCTTTACCTCGACGGCCTGGCGGTGGTTGGGTACTTCCCTACGGTAAAGCGCGGAATGTCTTGGAAGAGCTGCTGGAGGAATGCTGACAGAGGGAGATGAAGGCTGGGGTACTGACGGTCTGTAACTGCCATCGTCTCCGGATGCGAGTAGTCGCATTGATGCACCATGGTGGCGGGCACCTGTAATATCTGAACTGTCATCCTCATATGCTGGAGGGCCAGAATACCCGGGCGGGTCGTTGGAAGGATCCATGGGCGGAATCTATCGTCGCATGCACTATAAACTTTGTTGATAGAGGCAGATTGTTTAAGACACGATGAAGCTAAGACTTTTTAGGCTCGGGACAGGAAATAATGGCTCCAAAAGTTCCAAAATAGAGTATCGATTGATTTCAAGCGACATTGAATCAGAGTTGAGATGGAGTCAAGCCGGAAAGATGGTGGTCTCTGGTGGAGTGTTTCATGTGCCTGGCTGGAGTGTTGTGGTGCATGGGAGCCGTTGGTAGGGCAACCGCCGGTAGTACCGTAGGGCTGAGTCACGTGTCATCGCCTTCCGCCTCAACGCCACTTCGAAATCAGAACGATGGGAGCACAACTACACAACTACACAAGAGCCGGTGCATTATTCTATGGTGTGAGGGCATCTACAGGTGCTTACTGCTGTAACATTCTCATTCTCCTGGCAAGATGCCGAAAGCCGAAGTGGGTTCGACGAAATACCTCAACAACAAACTCAAGTCCAAAGGTCTACAGCGATTACGATGGTACTGTCAAGTGTAAGATCTCCCCGCCTCGACTTGGGCGATCATGGCTGACAAGATCATAGATGCGAGAGACAGATGCGAGATGAGAATGGCTTCAAGCAACATACCATGTCCGAAGCGCATGTGCGACAAATGCTTCTCGTCGGCGAAAATTCCAACAAGTTCATCAACGACTACTCGAACCAGTTCCTGAAAGACTTTCTTCAGTTACTGAGGACCGCTCATGGGGAGAAGCAGGTCCATATGAATAAATTCGTACGTGTCTTTCCCTTATTCCCTCAATATTAGGTTACTAACATCGGATGCGCAGTACCAAGAGTATATCGCGAACAAATCACACACCCACATGAACGCCACCAAATGGTCCAGCCTGACCCAACTAGCCCAACACCTTGGCCGCGAAGGCATCTGCCGTGTCGAGGAGACCGACAAAGGCCTTTTCATCCAGTGGATCGACAACACCCCCGAAGCGCTCCGCCGGAAAGAGGCGGTCCAGCGCAAGGAGCGGCAAGACAAGGGCGACGAAGAGCGCGAGCAGCGGCAGATCGCCGAGCAAGTCGAGCGCGCGAAGGCGGCTGTCGGGGAGGAAATGATACAGCCGAACGAGGCGAGGGAGTTGGAGCGGAAAGAGGGAGAGAAGATCGCGCTGGATTTCACGCCTAAGGCGGCGGCGCCGGCCACCGCTAACGGTTCTACGGCGGATAAGCCATCGGTAGGGATCTCTTTGGGCAAGGCGAAGGTGAATCCGTTGTCGGCGAAGAAGAATCCGTTGGCGGGGAAGAAGGCGGGGCCCGTGATGCCGCAGCCGAAGAAGATGAGCGAAGCGGAGAGGATCATGAGGGAGGAGATGGAGCGGAAGAGGGGAAGGGGAGGGCCAGGACAGTCTGGATTGGGTGCGAAGCGGCAGAAGATGTCATGAACGGGTATATTATGGTTGATGATCGCATTCCTGGAGTTGGGCAGGCGTATATAGGTGCATGTGTGGATATACCCCTGGGTTGGGCTTGAGTCTAGTCTTTTAGCTAGCATGATAGACATGTCCATGATGTTGTTTAGTTTATCTATTCTATCACGACTGTCTTCCTTGACTTTCTTACCGTCGTGTGTATTCTGCCTGTCGAAAGCCAGTCTACACCAAGATCCGACGAAACTCATCAATCCACAGACCCTGCTTACTCAATTTGACGTCAAAGGACGACTTCTCGTAGCAAATTGGGTATCAACCGGCTGGTATACCACAAATCCATCGTATTGACAGAATCCCGAATGGCTGATTGGGAGCCAGCTGAAACCCTTTGGGCGAGTTACGTATTACGAAACCACGGGAGACCCAGCCACGCGTGATAAAATATAAATCCATCCAGGTAGGGGGACCCTTTTCGTCTCATTCTCATCCACCGTCCTCAGGATACACACGATTATTCGTCTCACATTCCATTTTCTATAAAATTATCCTCCGTACTTGACGAGTAGTTGAATATACCTTACACAGCCCCAAGCCCTGAGTGGACCATTTGGAAATACTACCCCCGCTGATCACGACCGATACCCGATCAGGCTAGAGACGAGGGATCTTATGTCAGTCCACGATCAGACCCTGAACACTCGATTCGCGTACGGGAGTAAGACGATGAGCGACTGCTGTCGACAAGTTCATTTCTCCTGGAATACCGCCTCGAAACAACCTCCTTTCAACTCTTAATCCTTCGAACTACCGTCCTGTTCAATCCCATGTACAAATGAAACCTAGCAAGTGCGGCGCTGCGATTCCCCTTGACAACCGCTCGTCCACTCCGCAACCTTCTAGCGGCCGCACGAGTCGCTCCATCACTCCCCTTCGCACCGCCTATGGTCCATCCCCCCTCCAATAACCCGTCACCATGCGGCGCGGCCTCGCGCTCTTCCTCCTGGTCAACGTCGCCATCATCTTCTTCCTGGTCGGCCAGGTGTGGACGCTACTGAGCCTCCTCGTCGTCGACGGGTCGCAGGATGCCATCTCGCGCGCGGAGTTGCCCGCGCCGAACTCGAGCCTGATCGACGGGCGAAGGCAGTTGATTCCGAAGATTATACATCAGACGTATAAGAATGAGACGATTCCGGAGGTGTGGAAGGAGGCGCAGCGGAGTTGTATTGAGCTGCATCCGGATTACGAGTATAAGGTATGGCGGGACTTGTTGCGGTTGTAGAAGACATGCTGAGACTAGGGATTGTAGCTATGGACCGATGATTCTGCACGGGAGTTTATAGTAGCCGAGTAAGTTTTTGTTATATCCATAACATCGGCCAGGCTCTGACTGTATTCTCCAGATATCCTTGGTTCCTCGATACCTGGGACGGCTACCCTTTCAACATCCAGCGCGCCGACGCCATCCGATATTTTATATTATCACATTTCGGCGGCATATACATCGACTTGGATGATGTACGATATCCGTAGCCATACCCTAGACCACCCAGGACTGATCGATCACAGGGCTGCAACCGACGATTAGACCCCCTCCTCTCCTACAGCGCCTGGCTCCGACGCACCCTGCCCACCGGCATTAGCAACGATGCTATGGGCTCCGTGCCGCAGCATCCCTTCTTCCTCCGCGTCATCGACAGCCTCTCGAAATACAATCGCAGCTGGTTCCTCCCATACATCACCGTGATGGCGAGCACGGGGCCGTTGTTCCTGAGCGTCATGTGGCGACACTATAACAACGACGACCCGGTTGGCGATGATCGCATCCGCATCTTGTTCCCAGACGAGTACAAAGATCATGTGTGGAGCTTCTTCGTGCATAATGTAGGGAACAGCTGGCATGAGAAGGATGTGCAGTTCATTATGTGGGTATGTATTGCTATTGAGCGCCTCCACCTGCGATATTTCAAGGCACCCCCCGTCTAACCGCTCGCAGCTGAGAAGCAACTGGTTACTTGTGACCATCTTCGGTTTCGTCATCGCTGGCTTTGCTTTCTCCGGGTCATATTGGCTCTACCGACGATGGTGCCTAGGCGGATATGGATCCGGACCCGGATCCCCGCGAAAGCGATATCATCCGAATTCAAGGTCGTTTCTTCGACGACTACCCATCCTACGCTATTTCAGTAAGGGTGATAGAGCGGGCTCCTACGAGCTTTTGGATCGACGAGATGTATGAGCACCCCTAATTCTAATAGGGGAATCCTTGGAGTACAAAGTTAGTCGGATTCTGGCGCAGGATACATTTCTTGGAACGGTCAGCGTCGGATACTCGATATATCAACATCACATGGGTGGCGTTTTGTCGCGTGGCTCAGAAATGCCCCTTCTGTTTGGTTCAGGGAACGCGTCTCAGTTGCAACATAGCGTACTAGAGGTATATTTACGCAATCAATTCCGTCATCAAATCCTTCGGCCACTGCGGTTTATCGATCCCGTTCCCTCGTGTTGACACGTTGTACCGCAGCTCCACCGGTCCCTGCCGGTACTGGATGACCGGCTTGACGGTTCTGAACGGCTTCCCGAGCAGCCGCGACGGCCGGTTCTCGAAGAACTCGTCTTTCAGGACCACATCTTTCGCGTTGTCGGTCAGCATTTTCATGAAGCGTGGGATGGTGTATCCCATGTGATGGTAGTGGCGGAACACCAGGCGTCCGTTGCGGTTCCAGACATCCTGCCACACTGCGTCGGGGTAGACTCCGACGCTGTTGACGAGCCACTGCGAGTAGTAGTTGAGGGAAAGCTAAGTGATTGTCAATGAACCGTTCCATGCATTCTATGACATGGAGACATACGTCAACTTTATACGACCCGCCGTCAGAGCCTCGTCGAAGGATGGCATCCAAGATGCCGATAACTCCTGCGACTCCAGTGCTATCGACCAAATTAGCACCGACAAATGGAAATAAGCACACGATGACATACCAATAATCCGAATTCGGAAACACCGGCGTAACCGGCTCATCATTCCCCATCGCTCTCCCGAACTCCATCGACACACCACAGTTCGCATCGCTAATCTGCTGCCACCCACTCCGATAACTCCACTCCCCATTCCACCCATAGCAATTCTCCCTCACCACGACTACCCCTCTCTCCCTCCCCTTACACAATTCCAAAATCTCCTCCTGCGAAAACCCATACTTGTCCATCACCCCCGGCCGGTACCCCGACACTACCACGTCTGCCTCTAAAATCAACCCCCGCATCGTCTCCCGCTGCCCCTCGTCCCGCAGGTCCAGATGCGCGTTCCACTTCCCCCAGCACAGATCTGGATGCAAGCTCGTCATGTCTGTGACGTGCGGCGCCGTGATCCGCAGTACGCTGGCGCCCAGCTCCGCCAGTCCCCGGGTCACGGCCGGCGCAGCGATGACGCGCGTCAGGTCGATGACTTTCAGCCCGGCCAGCGGGCGCGAAGGACCGGTTTCGGCGATCGAGGGCCACCAGCAGGGGGGCTGCGTAGGGTTCGGGACGGAGTGGATGTCCCAGAGGCTGATGTGCGAGTTGGCGCGGCCGTGGGCGCTGGTTTTGTATTCGTCGGTCGTCCAGCAGATGGTGCCGGCTTGCTTGAACTGGTCGGAGGCGAGGGGCTGCATGGTGGCGGAGTCGATCTGCGAGAGTTTGTCGATGTAAGGTTGGATGGATTCTTCGTAGGTCGTGGTTGGGTTGTCGTGCGGGAGGCCGAGGCTGTCCTGGGTAGGATGGGCATTCATGCTTCCTATGATTCCTATGAGTACTTGATGCATATATATTCATCCGAGGGCCTACGTACCGTGGAGATGGAAGTACCTGCCGTCTTTGCATCGATAAATGTTGGTCGCGGCGGTCCTGTAGGGAGTTTTCCCTGCCCCGTGGAGGTCGTAATCAGGGAAGTATTTCTCTTTCAGTGCGTTCTTCTGGGGGCTGCCAAAGGGGACCTTCTCTCCATCTGGGTCGAGTACCCACAAGAAAGCAGACATGACAAACAGCTGGGCGTGATCACTGTGTCCGGTCAATTATGGATCCGGTGTGCATGACTGGGATTCTCACGTATTGATGACCACTTCCTTTGCATCGACGTTATACTTCCTCTTCAGAAGGATATTGATCATGGTGGCTTCCAGTCCCTTCAGAGACGAGATACTCTCTGCGAATCTCCAGTTGATGGGGATGCTGGGGCTTTCGTTCCCTTCGAACCGGATGGATTTCGAACATTCTTCTGCCTCCTTGGGGAGATTGCGGGATACCAGAGGATTCTTCAATAGACCAGTGTTAAATAGTTCCTCCGTAGCTCTTGGAACCGAGTACTCTTGCCCATTACTCCCAAGGCCACTGGTGCCATCAGTGGTTGTGCCTACAGACATATTGTAAGATTCCGCGCTCTTTGAAACTATTATAAGGACTCAGATAATGTCGACTTGCGGCTTATGAAGAAAAGGATAGACTTTCACACACACTCTACGTTTATGGTAAAGGAAAGCATTCAGTGTAAAGGAGGGGATGGAATCAATCCCATGGTACTTCATCGTCCCTATCCTGCCATATCCGACAGCGATTTGCCGCGATCAACAAGCTGGAACGCGAATCTCCGCATGCCAGCATAGCTTTCTTTGGGTAGCAATTAAGTAGCTCGAACTTCGATTCGCTAGCGTAGATACCCCCATAACCGCATAACAACGTATCCGTGCTGCAAATAGGTAGATGGCCCAATTGCATGGCCTTCTCTTGCCGAGGAGGCCGGCAATGTTTTGAGGGTAACGCTAGGGAGGGGATCAATATGTAGCAATATTAGCTCACACTTTGTTACTAATTTACTATTAACCAAAATACTCCAAAATGGTATTGCCGGCTCTAAACCGAGACCGATGTAGGAGGTTAGTCGTGGATGTGCAGGATTCGGTCATTGAAAGGGGATCGTGAATCATACCGGTAACCCCGCATATGGTCCCGATACCCGTACGCCCCTCCTGAAATAGTAGAGGTGAGGATTTTGATCAAATTGGTAGGTATCCCTGAAAATGCAGTAGAGCCTACTTTTAGATATACAAACAGCAGTTCACAGAAATAATAATTTCCACACACTTGATTTTCACAATGGGCGCAGCAAAGGCAGACCGATGGAGTGAGCGTGGTACAAGGCCCGTGCGGGTCGCCAACTGCTCTGGATACAAAGGTATGGATTTTAAGATGTTCAGATCAGGAATCGTCTAACATTATATATAGCGGATCCGGGATATAACATGCGCATGCAGGCGGAGCTGGGCGACGTCGATTTCATCACGGGAGACTATCTAGCTGGTGAATAAGCCCTTAGTAAAACCCCACATATGCAGGGGCAAGATGGACGAGATGCTGACTGAGACAAGAGGTGAACATCGCCGAAAATGCCGAAGCCATGGCGGCGGGTAACCACCCGGGCTGGGAAGCCACCGCATGGGACGGCATCGAGCAGACGATCGACATATTGAATGAGAAGCGGATCAAAGTCGTCGTGAACGGCGGGGCGCAGAACCCCCGAGGTCTCGCGGAGAAGGTTCTGGAGCTAGTGAAGAGCCGTGGATATTCGCTGAAAGTCGCGTACGTGGAGGGCGATAACCTGCTGCCCAAGATCAATCAGCTCGTCGAGGAGGGTTTGCCTGCACACCTGGATTCCGGAAACGCGGACGTGAACCTCCCGAAGAATAGCCTGGCGGTTTTGGATAAGTCGAAGCCCATCGTCGCTGCGAACGCGTACCTGGGAGCCAGGGAGATCGTCAAGGGCCTCGAGCTCGGAGCGGACATCGTCATCGCAGGCAGGGTGGCAGACGCGTCGCCCGTTATTGGAGCAGCTCAGTACTGGCACGGATGGTCGGCGACATCGTACGATGAGCTTGCCGGTGCCCTGGTGGCAGGACATCTGATCGAATGTTCCGCCTACGTTACCGGCGCGAATTTCTCGGGATTCCATGAATACGACCTGGACAACTTTTATGAGATGCCGTTCGGCATTGCGGAAATAGCGAAGGACGGGAGTGTCGTAGCGACAAAGCATGACAATACGAAAGGTATGGTGACTGTGGATACAGTACAAAACCAGTTCTTGTACGAGTTGCAAGGGAATGTATACTTGAACAGCGATGTCAAAGCCTATATCGAGAATGTTAAGATCGAAGAAGTTGGCAAGGACAGGTAAGTCGTGTCGTGGATGAAGAACAATTGGCCCCGATGTTCAAGGCTAATTGATCTTCCAGAGTCCGACTTAGTGGCATTCGAGGTGCTCCTCCACCCCCAACCACCAAGCTAGGGATCTTCTATCGAGGCGGCTTCCACAATGAGATTCTAGTAAATGCGACAGGATATTCCACAGCAGAGAAATGGGACTTGTACGAGCGTATAATGCGGAACGGATTAAGGAAACAGGGGACCATCGATGACTTCGATCTGCTGGAGTTCCAGATGTATGAAAAACCGTGGACTTTGTCATTTGGCCGGACCAACGACTGACGCATTATAGTCTCGGTGTCCCTCAGCCAAACCCGCGATCGCAGCAAAAGAGCACGACATACATGCGAATCTTTGCGGAGGCGGCGCGGGAGGAAACGCTCTACTCGCTGGTTAAGACCATGGGCGAGAATTCCATGCAGCATTTCTCAGGTAGGCGGAGCAGGATGAAGTTGGTCCCGTCCAATCTGACTCGAAGCAGGATTCCATTGCTCGCTTGACATGCGAACGGCGGTCCCCCGACCATACCTGGCATTTTACCCGGCTCTCTTCGAGCAGGACCGGCTCGAGACCGCGGTGAACGTGCTGGATAACGCGACAGGGAAAGCAGAGAGGTATGAAACCGGACATCCCCCGAAGTACGATGCTTTGGAGAAGCGACTCAACTACAACACCGACGCGCCCGCCGCCGTGTCGAGCTTTGGGCCAACCCAGTCCGTCCGGCTCGGCGATATCGCTCTGGGTCGCTCAGGGGACAAAGGGCCGAACGTGAACTTCGGAGTCTATATGTACAAGCCACGCGTGACGTCCGAGTCCACGGATCAAGATGCGTGGAACTGGTTCCGCTCGTTCATGTCCCGGGAGAGGATGCAGGAGCTCCTAGACGAGGACTGGCGCGATGAATATTTCATCGAACGCGTCGAGTTCCCTAGGATTGGGGCGGTCCATTTCGTCATCTATGGAATTCTTGGACGGGGGGTTAGTAGTTCGGCGCGTCTTGATGCACTTGGAAAGGGATTTGCGGACTACATCCGTGACAAGGTGATTGAGGTACCAGAGAAGTTCCTGGTTGCTCTGAGACGGAATGGTGAATCTAAGATGTAAAATAGTCCAGATATTCTTCAAAACTGGGTACCTAGTTGGTTGACATGCGACTGTTATCTGAGGTTCGGTCAATTAGTTGAAGACAATGGCAGTTGAAGTTCACAGGTTGTCATCGCCTGGATTCTGTTTAAGTCGTCGGCTGATCCTCGGATGATGTTGAACTGCCGCTATTGATATTCATCTCGACACTCCCATAAGTTTACACATAACTATCCTACTGATATCCGCCAGGTGAAGTCGCTACTCGATGAAGGCGGTTCGTTCTTCTGAGTGACAGACAGCTTCACCATGAAGGAGGATGACCTATACCGGGCATCTACCCAGTACCGACTGTGGTCCTTCGCCCCAGAAAAGCTGGCGGCTCTTCGCGTAAACACTAATAGTATCGCTGCCGAGAGGGTGATAGGAGCGATCCAGCGGGCGAGAGCTCAGCGGCTTGGAACCGCGTCCGGAGACGCGAGCGAGAGTGAGCCGCAGAGTCAGAAGCGGGAGTCAAGAGAAGCCAGTACCGCGACTGGCGACCAGGAAACCGAGTGCCTCACGGCGGATGAGGAGTTGAAGTTGGTGGAATACTATAGCACGCAATGTGTCCCCCTCGCCAAGCCGTTCAAATTCCCTATAAACGTTGTCGTATGTCCCCATTCGCCGGCGGTCCGATGGATAGATAGCTGATCGAAACGTAGGCCACGGCAATACAATTCATGAAGCGCTTCTACCTGTTCAACTCGCCCATGACCTATCACCCGAAGCAGATCATGCCGTCCGCCTTGTTCCTCGCCACGAAGACGGAGAACCATCATACGGCGCTCAAGGAATATTCGACGGTCCTGAAGGGGGCGGGACTCAAGAAGGTTTCGCCGGATGAGATTTTGGCGCCGGAATTCGTCATTACGCAGGGCCTGCGGTTTACATTCGATGTTCGCCATCCGCACCGAGCGCTCAAGGGGATATACATGGAGGTTTTCTCGATGATCAAGGGAGACTACGCACCGATCGCATTGGACACGAGAACGGCGAGGGATATACAGACGCAGATACTGCGCCTACCTGCGCAAAACGGGGCGGAGTCCAAGTCTACAACGCAAGAAGGCGAAGAGAGATTGAATCAAGCTTACGCAGCAGCCAAGGAGATCCTAGGATATAACGCCATTCTCACGGACGCCTATCTTCTATATACGCCGTCCCAGATCTCCTTCGCCTCCCTCCTGATCGCTGACGAACCATTGACCTCCTTCCTCCTCTCTTCGAAACTGCCATCCGGATCCGACACCATCAATGAATTAAAAGCCAAAGTCCTCTCGACGATCCGGTCGTGCGCCGAGATGCTCCGCGCCGGGCCGAGCTCCGCAAACGTGCCGCGCGAGGAACTGATCCGCATCGATAAGAAACTGTACCAGTGCCGGAATCCGGAGAAGATGGACCTGGTGGGACTAAACAAAGCGCAGAAACGGGACGGGGCGGTCGAAGGGGTGATCGATGAGGCGGTGGCGAAGAAGCGGAAGTTGGAGAGGGAGAGGACGGAGAGGGAGGGGGAGGATTTGTTCGGACCGTCCTTGGCTAAGCCATCGTGAGTGCAGTCTACGGCACGAGGGATCAAGATTGTACGACACTGTGTCTGTCTCACGCTTTAAGTGGAGAACGACTCAATTTCCCAAGGCCACAGGGCCGGTTGGCAGAGGACGGCGCTCGACCGTCTCAGCCACCGAGGTGGTCCTGCTCTCTGAATTGGGATGGCGATTGGATACGCAGCCAAAAACCCGGAGGGACCTGAACGAGGAGAAGACGCAATGAGGAGTATCGCCACGGTATAGGATGGAGCATGTAGCCGCGTCAAACATCCCTTCCGGCTGATAGTCAGGAGTCGCGGCACGAAGAGATTCAGTGAGCGAAATGAAAAGAGAGAAGTTGGCATTTTCTATTCCAGCAACGTCGCCCTAAAATGTGGTATGATGGTACAAATTGTGACCCGCCCGATACGCCGAACAAATGCATGGCCTTCCGCCGTCACCTCCATTTTCCAATCTTTGGGGTGGCGGCAACTCCGTCGCCGTATTGGCATCTTGCAGTACGGTGACCGTCCACTCTCTAATTACGCATCCTCGTGTATTAGAGTTGATGTGTGTCGGTATTGCATTTAGGCGAAAGGAGAGAAGAATCTACGGTGGTCAGCGGAATCATGGCGGAACTGGATTCAGACTGCGGTACCTAATCAAGGCAGGTCGAGGCGTGCTCTGCGACCATCCAAGGTAGAGGATCAATGGCACATAGCCACTAAATACGAATGAGCATCAGAATCATTGGTTATCCAAGGGAATCGTACTAGTGTATGGCGACGCGGGAGATGTCGATGACTTTGGAGATGCGCTCCTGTGATGCGCGGTCAGTTTCTGGCTCTGGGTAGCGGCGCAATGGCAAACCCACCTTTGATTCCTCTGAGAGCTGCATTTTGAATGTGGGAAGTGATGCCGTAGAGCGTGTAGACCTCGGGATGGAAGTGCTTGGAATCGTAGAAAGTATTGTTGGTTGAAGATGTCTCGAACTCTTTGGATATCGAAATGTCATGAAATCCGTGAAGGTCCGTGCGCTACTCCTAAGAAAGTCGCGTGGAGGCAATTGAATTGATGTACGATTGCCTCACCAGTGCACACCCCCATTTCGACCGACAATAAGGAGACGAATCAAACGAAGAGTATCAGAAGATCCATCCTTTTGTACCCATCCATATAGCAGTGGATATCCTTTGAAATAGAACTTCACAATGGCCTCCGGAGCAAGACATTGGTAGGCGTTTCCGCGTCGCGCAAAGAATATGGCTAACCTCCACCAGGGAACAAGATAAAGAGGCCACAGTCTACATCGGGAACCTCGATGAGCGAGTCACAGACAGCCTGGTGTGGGAGCTGATGCTCCAAGCCGGCCGGATAGTCAATGTACATCTCCCCAAGGACCGAGTATCCCAGACGCACCAAGGCTACGGCTTCGTCGAGTTCATCTCTGAAGAAGACGCAGATTATGCCGCCAAGATCATGAACCAGGTCCGCCTGTACGGGAAGCCGATCCGCGTCAACAAGGCGTCTGCCGACAAGCAGAAGAGCGTGGAAGTCGGCGCGGAGCTGTTCATCGGCAACTTAGATCCGATGGTCGACGAGCGCACGCTCCTGGAGACGTTCAGCCGCTTCGGCACCCTCGTGGCGCCGCCGAAGGTCGCGCGCGATGATGCCGGCCTGTCGCGCGGGTTCGGCTTTGTGTCCTTCGCGAACTTCGAAGCCTCCGACGACGCGGTGACGAACATGCACGGGCAGTACCTCATGAACAAGGAGATCACCGTGCAGTACGCCTACAAGAAAGACGGCAAAGGCGGCCGCCACGGCGACGAGGCCGAGCGGATGCTCGCCACCCAGGCGCGCGTGCACAACGTCGAGATCCCCGTCCAGCCGCTCCAAGTCCAACCGCAGATGTTCGCGCCTCCGCCAACGGCAGCGGCGCCGACGATGGGCGGACCGGGCATGGTCCCCAACGGCGCTCCTCCCGGCTTCCCTGCACCAGGCGGCTACCACCAAGCGCCGCCTCATGCACAGAACCGAATGCCACAAATGGCGAATCCGCTCCCGCCACCGCCGTCAGGTCTCCCTGCCCGACCGCCGCCATCGCAGGCGGGGTATGGAGGACCGACGGGGTTCATGCCGCCGGGGTTCAACGCACCGCCGCAGAGCGGGTTCGCTCCTGGAGCGCCGCCGATGGCTCCGCCGCCGGGATTCGCGCCTCCGGGATTTGCTCCGCCAGGTCAGGGGGGCCCGCCCGGGATGCCGCCTGGATTTCCGCCTCCGGGCTACGCACAACGCTGAGGGATGATGGGTTGGATAAGATTGAAGACTACTTATTACTCGGGCTATAAGTCGATACTGTTCGACTGACGCGTAATGCGACGATGCCCTACGTCACAGGCTACGCTCGGCTGCTAGGTGCACATGCGATTTATCAGAGGCATGATGGGGACCAGTCCGAGATGTACGATGGAGTTGTGGTTGGAGCTGTGGTTGCGGGTGTGGGAGGATAACCTTCCAACGGATGAATTGACGAAGAATGGAGCGGCTCCCAATGCTCCTAGAGTGCTCCATAATGTACATAAGAAACTGCACATCGGCGAAGGTATGCTCAACAGCGAGCATGGACTGGTCCTAAGCCAAAAGTCTCACCTCAAATCAAGCTGAGAACAATGAACAAATCCAGCAATCAACGCCCAGCTGAATATAACCAACGCATACCCCATCCTAACCCCATATAAACAAACGAAACCCCACCCTTTGCTCATGAAAACGACACAAATTTCGGATCCCTCGGCGTCCCATCCGGATTAATCCCCCCCTTCTTAAACCGCTGCTCCATGAAGATCCGCCGCGCCTCATCGAACCCGACCTTCTGCTTCCGCATGATCTTTTGCACTGCGCGCTTGCCCTCCTCGTCGAGCCCAGATCTTCCGTCGCCGGACTCGATGTTCGTCGCGAGGTCGAAGTTGGTCGAGTGCAGGCCGGCTTCGACGTCGGAGCGGAAGGAGGAGGGGAGCTGCGTGTATAGGTGGGAGGTGGTGGGGAGGAGGGGGAGCCAGCGGGCGCGGGTGAGGTAGAGGGCTGGGAAGGTTAGTGATGCTAGAGTTAAGATGGAGGAGACGTACCTGTTCCGCAGACGAGGGTGAAGAAAGCGATCGTGTAGAGGAGATACGCCATGGTGGATGTGGCGATGTGCAGCTATCGGTCTTTGGTTGATGATAGGAGTATGGACCCTGCTGATGGCACCGCGATAGGTGGAATAGGTACAGCGGAGGAGTTATGGAAGAGACTCAGATGGTCCTGAAGCTTTAGTAATGTCCGGCAGTCGCCTTACGCCCCTTTGAAGAAACGTCGGCATCGGGCATCCCTCTCGTGGCTTGAACACTCCGTCAGTTCCGGACGTGGGCGAAAGTATTACTTAGCAGTTTAGCACAGCCCTAGCCCAGCCTTGCGTATGGCGTTACTGCCTCGCTGCCTTGTTGCCTTTATGCAATTACAGTTATGCCTGTCATTACATAATCCTATTTTCATGCCTTGCAGCCTCAGGCCCTAACACGGCACGTGCACCGGGGTCGCTTCGCTTGAACTCTTGGCATCGAAATATCGAATCTCACACAGTTGGTGACGACGAACAGAACGACGAATTGATCCTCAGAAGCCCAATCCATCCACTTCACCATCCCGCAACCATGTCCTTATCTACCGATCTCCTCTGGGAGGTGACCCGTGAGTAACCCCCATCGAACCGAAAACGGCCTCGATTCTAACCCACAATGCCAGGCAACAACAGCGCCTTCCTCGTCAACCGCCGAACCGGCGGCGGCGCCCGCTTCTCTCGCGATCCCTTGAACCTGACGAACGTCTACTCCCGAAAGGCACGCGCGCTCTAATCCCTCGATAGCGAGTCATTTGGCGGGTTTGCTAACTTGAAGCACAGTATGAGGGTTCCATCAACGAGAAGGCCTTCGGCGTCCAGCCCGCCGCGGAAGGCGGCGTTGAAGTCAGCGTGAAGAAGGCCGGCAAGGCGAACAAGCCTGCCTCCGCTCTGCAGACGTCGACGATCGGGAAGGGGAAATCCACCCGCAAGTCAGTCACCCCTCGACAATATAACCACCCCACCCGTCCTAACGGCGATACTCGAAAATTTCTGAGAAGGGTTGTTGTGGAATGTGGATGTGCGCCATACTGACCCCGCGACAGGACCTACCAGAGCATCGTCAACAGCACCACCAAGCGCCACTACCGCCCCGACCTCCGCGCCGAGGCCGTCGCCCGTGCCAGCGCGATCCGCCAAAGCCAGCGACCGAAGAAGGCGACCCCGGAGCGCAAGCTGAGGGGCCGAAAGGCGGAGAAGGCGGCTGAAGTGGAGGCGTAAAGTAGAGATGAACAAAGATTGAGTGGAGATGCGCATATGGTGATATGTGGGAGATGGGAGGGGAGCCCTGTGTATGGAGGGTTGGGCGGGAGTGATTTGACCGTCATTCGGAGTTAGGGGGCCTTGACTGAGCCGAATAAAATCAATCATACGTTTTCTGAGATGGGTGGAGTATTTGATGTTGGGAGATGTCTTTGTTCATTCTTCTGTTGAGAAGGCTGTTGCACGCGTGCACGGTTAGCTACCCAAAGCCGACTATCCACCGTTGCCTATGAACGCCCTTGACAGATGTACACAATACTGTCTTGCATGCGGAAATCCAAGGGCACCGTTCCCGTGCTAGGGCCCAACAATCCCGTGGCAAACCCTGATATCGGCCGAGTCACAAGCAGTGCGCCCATGATATCTCACCCCTACTTTCCCATATGCCAATGACCGCTCTCCAAACCCTAAAAGTCCTTATCCGTCCTAGAATATCGCCCTCACTTATTCAACCCAAACCGCGAACTCATCATCGCAAACGCATCCTGCTTATACGACTGACTCGGCTGCAACGGCGCCACCTGTCCCTGCATCACCTTCTCCAGCAAAATCGCCCCGTGCTCCCGATCCACCCGCCCGTACTTCTTGTTCCGCTGACTCACGTCGTAGAACTCGTCCGGCGTGTCACTCTGCATCAGCGCGACCGTCTGCACCAGCTCGTCCAGGTTTTCCTTGAGAATCGGGTTGCCAAGGCCATCGACGAAGTCGACGAGGTGCTGCACGTCGTTGGCGAGGGTTTGGATGGCGGCGGGGGAGATTCCCCGGACGGAGGAGTCGAGCGGGAGGGAGAGGATGCTGGTGGCAGCGTGGGAGAGGGCGTCGAAGTAGATGAGTTCTTTGATTTCGGTGGGGAGTCCGAGGAGCGCGGAGTGCATGGAGTCGTCGAGGTAGCGGGTGAGTTCTTGCATGTAGTTGCTGACTTTTTTGCGGCCAGGAGGGGTTCGTGTCATCCTAAATAGATGTGATTAGCTCTTGGCTATACGGTCTGAGCTAGAGGCGGAAGACTTACCAGTCGTATTCTGCTGTCTCGATGAGGTCGTCGATCTTCGAGTTCACAAGCTCGAATATCCGCTTTTCAGCCGTCTTCCGTCCTTCTCTGAACCTTTCGGTCGCTTGTAGGATGACTGGCCCGCTGGCAGACTGTGATGAACGAGCGTCAAAAAGCAAATTCTGCAGCTCTTCACAAGCGGTCTCGAAGTGCTCGAAGTTCGTAAGGATTTGGACGACTTGGCCGGGATATTGCGAGCTGAGTCGATCCACCAGCGTCTGGCACACCTTGTCACACAATAGCTCGTCCAGTGACTACAGCTGTTAGCGAGATTCGATGCAAGGCACAGGTGAGCGTACCCTTTTCAACGTCTCGTCGATCACGTTGGCTCGTTCGAACTCATCGTCCGAGAAAAGATAGATTTGGTTCAGGAAGTTGCGGATGTCGATACAACAGAGGGGGTACATTTGAGAGAATGGTAGCACACAAGGAAATCTGCATCTCCGCGTTAGCGCTCAGAAATGCCCACATCGCTGGGAAATCATACTGGAGGTCGGAACGATCGGTGTCCGGATTATACCAGCTGACTTCAACCACTTTGTCATACTCTTCCAGGGTATTGATCGGCATTGGCATATAGTCGTCCGTCGTCACAATCTACATAGTGTCAATGGCAGATCCGTCCCACAGCGAACAACGACGTACCTCCTCAAAGTCTTCGCTGAATTTCCGCTTCAGCAATTTCGAGTAATTGTCGAAAATAGTAAGGACAAGTGAATGGAGAGAGGACGTCGCATATCCCCATGTCTATACACAATCAGCGGTTTACTCGGTCAATACCGTCGCAGTGGTCACTTACATCCACGGTTTGGATGAACAGAGCCACTCGTCCCTTGATTTTGAGCAAGGTCTCATCCTTATCGACGTCATGAAGGTTATTGGAGATTAATGTGATCGCGGCACGGCACATCGAGTCCCATAATTCGTCGACCTGCTCCTGTTAGTATGACAGCAGGAGTATCAGGAGGCCATCTTACATCCACTCCAGCTCGCAAATTATCCGTCTTCATCATTGTCGCTCTCTCCAGAATGGCGAAGCCGGCAATGCCCTCGAGAATACTGCTCAAATCGGCGACGTCCTCGTCCCGGAGATTTAACGCCGTCGGCACCAGCAGGTCCTTCTGTCTCCGTCTCGTCGCCGCGTACTCCGCGCGGAACTGATCGTATCGACCAAGCGTCTCGTGAATATGCACCGCTTCATAGAGCGGCGAGAAGTCGATCTGCACGTCCGTTTCCTCGTTGTTCAAGATGTCGAACTCGTCCATCTCGTCTGCGACGAGCTCCACGGCCGAATTGAGGCCGTACTTCGCCATGTAGTCGTCCTGCTCCGTCCGCTCTTTCATCCGCTCCTTACGCATCTCGGTATGGTAGAACGCTACCTCCCCCAGATACTGCGATGCCTCGCGGATGCGGAAAAGCCAGGTGTTCAAATCCGTCATGACCGCCTCCGCGATGAGCTTCTGCGTCGCCGGTACCGACTTCTCGATGATCTCCGCTATCTTATACCGGCTGATCTCCCGCAGATGCACGTTCTGCAGCTCCTCCAGCGCGCGCAGCGCCGCGTAGTGCTTCTTCTTCGCCAGCAGGTCGTGCACCTGGTTCGCCAACTGCAGCACGTCCAAGCACGCGTTCAGCGCCTTGGTCGCGTCGTCGATGTTCTCCCGCACGCTGCGCGACTCGACCAGCGCCTTCTTCTGCGCGGCCAGCTGCTCCGTGCTCGACTGGATCGTCTCCGTGAGCCCGAGGATCTCCGACGTCAGCTCAGCGGTCCCCTCGCGGATGCGCAGCAGGTCATTGACGGACTTCACGAAGTCTTGGTGGTTTGTGCTGCACATGCGCTCGATTTCGGTCTCGCGGTCGGCGGCGAGGGCATCGAAGTGGTGGAGGAGGCGGCCGGCGCGATCGGGGGTGCGGGCATCTTTGATGATGGGGATGAGTTGGTCGACATAGTCGGTTTCGGAGGAGGTGAGGACGATCTAGATGGATGTTAGCGAGGGAGGAAGGGTTTGGGCCGTATATTCGTACCCGTTGGACAATTGGCGCCAGGTCAGCGTGAGCAATGGCCGCTGGCATCGTGTTGAGACTGTTGCGGAGCGGTTCGATAGTGGGATGGTCGGTATGGTGCAGGCTATAGTCGTGCAAGCATTGGTCGATATGGTATCAAAGGCCGTATAATCCTTCCAGGCCCGGTAGAGCAGGTCTTTAATACCCCATGCGTTAGAATTCTGTGAAGTGCTGGAGTCAGATCTGCCGTTCACCACCCGATGTTCACATAGATCTACCTTGCTACAGCCTACGCTGAGGTCGAGCTCCCGAATGTATGAGATCTGAGTGACGTTGAATAAAGCCCCGATGGAAGGAACACCATCCAATCATGGCACGTGAGCTATACTGAAAGGCGTTAGTCCCAGGCACCACCAACCACGGCTGACGGCACAGGCCTACACGCTAATACAGGGAGCATATCAGAACGGACAACATACCTTATCAACAATCCCATGCGGACTATTGTCAAGCTGGATGAATGGATACGTGTGTGAATGGATGCTCAATGTTTCTTCTCCAGAAGCTGAGGCGGAAATGGGAAATTCTGTGGGTTCCTGGTGAATTGCTACCCGGAGGAATTATCAAAGATTATATATGCGATATGATAAAGGGTCAAGCAAAGGGGATAGATGTTATCGATCAATGATCTAGCAGTTTGATTGTCTACAGTCTATAATTTTCTATATGGATCTCTCTACGCTTCATTGGCCCCAACAATGCTGTTCAGCCGATGTCCTAGAGATGACTTCTGCCAGGTCTGACACTGAACTGCCCTCAAAGAATGCATACTGCAAACGTATTAGATAGTTTTGTCCGTACTGCAGGCTTGTAGAGCCTGGACATCGAGTGATGGATCTGGTAAAATCTCTAGTCCTCTGACGGCCTCGGACGGCGGAGGAGACATCACAAATCCAGACTGAAATCCTCGGAATTCCCGAGTCCACATTGAGGCACTGGGGTGCCATGCTAATGCTGAACTCACTGCTCTAACTGCTCTAAATGTTACCTGTACCTTGTGGAGTAATCCTGCGGGGGTAGGCGTGTAGACTGTAGATTTGTTATCCACGATCCCATGGGCAAATCCAAACTGCACGTAATTCTGTAATCCACAATCGCAATATGACTCAGCCCAGAAATCGCAAGCCTTCCGCTATTTCACTTTTCCGGGGGATCTTCAATCACTTTCCGTCCAGTATTTGTCCTCGATCCTCCAGCCAACCAGCGGTCCAGGGATAATGACGTAACAATAACTGTGATTCAAGTGAAGCAATTGGTGGAAATCGTAGCGCTAAACCGAAAAGCGTCAGGTGGTGGATGATTGGATGATGCGATGTAGTTGGAGATGGAAAGAGCGGTGAACTACTGCGCAGTGAGGAAGTTGCGATGAGTAGTTCGTGGGGAAAACCGGGGACGGTGGCAAAGTTGTAGCGCTGGCCATGGAGAGGGATGCATGTGTCCTGCAGCGGGAAGGAGCGACCCGCCCCTGTGATCGCCAGGCAACGACGCATATGCCGCCGCAGAGCCTCCGATTTCGTATATTCGTCGAAATTGTTCCTATAGCTGGTCAGTAGAGCAATGACTGATATCCTTCCCAAGTTTTCGCCTTCAATAAACTGTTTTGGTCGGGTTATTCACTCAAGTCGTGTCGAGTTATCGATAGCAAGCCTATTCTGATACTGCACCGTTGGATTCCCAACCTGCGTCCGCCCCAGCGAACTTCATTCCGTTCAGTTCACTCCATCCACTCCACCACCCAACTCTCCCACTCTCCATGACTATCGCCAACTCAATCTGCACCAATTTCTGAAGACTCGCTTGAAGATAATTGGCCGCATTCGCACAGGGTTGTGACGGTTTGTATGGTCCCCTGGGAAGGCAGAGGAGTATATATAAAACTTCTCCACCATCACTCCCTCTGCTTCCTCTCTTCCTCATCCGACTCTCAAATCCTCTTCCTTTCGCGAGACTGAAGCAGCTTTTCTTCTGAAGCATTAATTTTCTTCTCTTCTTGCCTTTCGCACCCTTCTCTTCTCTTCGGTTTGTGGAAGCATCAGTGACTTCAACTTTCTTCTCTTCCAACCCACCTTCGCTCCACTTCAACTTCACTCAACTCATCTTATCAGATTTCTAGATAAGGTCTCACCGTTGCCTGGTAAGTCGTCAGCCTATCCTTCAACACATGCCCGCCCCTTTTCCTCCATGTGATTGCCACAGCGCAATACCGTGTGTCTTCCCAGAACTCATTTAAAACTCACTCCACTCACCACTTTCAACTTTCAACCTCATCGCACCCACTTCACAATCTCATTATCCAGAACATACCTCGAAACCTCACTGATATCACTCGATATGGTTCGCATGCAGACACTCATCATGTCTTCTTCGCCTTCTCATGATCAGCCTCTCGCTGGCCCCTCGCGGTCCAGTCCGATCACTGCTTCGGACTCTGCTACCTACTACGATGGCCGATTCTCTGACCTGACTTCGCCGGACACCACGTTCAACGTGTCCAATCGCAGCACCACCGTTGCAAAGCTCATGGCCGGTGGTGTGCCCATCTCCGCGGGGCTCAAGGTCGCCAACGTAGCTCCTGCTCCTGTCTGCCACCCCAACGAGCTCCGTAAGTTCCGTGAGAAAGTCGCTCCCACTGCTGCACCCGAGAAGTCCGCGGCCAAGTCTGCTGAGTTCAACATGGACCTTCTCACCGAGTCCATGAAGGTACTCGATATCGGCTACAAGCTCAGCAAGGATCGCGTCTTCAACCACAAGGAGACCTTCGAGCGCATGAGGCGCATTGATGCCATCGCACCCGAGCATCGCCACTACACTGGTCGTGCGGACAACGTCTTCGATCTTCTGGCATTCAGCGTCACCGGAGCTGGCGACGATGCCGTTATGAACATCTCTCGCGCATTCGAAATCCACTGCCCTAAGGGAGAGGAACAGGACTTGGTTGCAACTCTTGAAAAGGTCAATTATCTTTTTTTTCATCCTTTTTTCCTGGCTGTGGGCTGTTCCCCGGCAATGTTCACTTTTCCCGTCAAAATTGAGTCACTTTCCCCCGGCCATTCCACTTTCTTCTCGGAATCTTTTGTGTCGTGGCGGGTGAGCTGAATTCCGACATGTCTTGGCCTCAAGCAGCACACCGATGGTGCCCGCCTGCCTTTCACTTTGAAGGGTGCCGAGTCGCACCCTAGTCGTCATTTTGAGTCATTTCCAAGTCGTGCCGCAATTCGCTTCCACCGCAATGTTTGGTTCCGGGACTGACATGTCATGCAGCATTCCAAGGCTTTCCCGCTTGGAAAGGCTCTCGTGCCGTCTTACCCTCCTGGTCTTGTCACTTATGAGTTCGATGGTCTTGCGGAAGCCGAAGTCGCCTTTCGCGTTGCGAAAGAAACCATTGCTGGGTTTGGTCCGGAGAAGCAATCCAAGTTCGGGGTGAGCTACATTGACCACGCCCTTCTCCATGAGAAGGAGAAATATTCGTGCAACAAGAAGGCGGTTGATGGCCAGCTTGTTCTGTTTATTCAGTTGACTGGGAAAGCCTCCACTGTTGAGGAGCGTGGTGGTGAAGCCGCTGTGTTCAATCGAGCATGCCAGCTGCTCAACCAGAACTTCCACAAGCAGGGCCGTGCTTGTGCCATCCGCACGGGCATGCTGCTTGGAGAGGAAAAGCGATCGCTTCTTTTCCGTGTCGAATTCGACTCGATGATGAATTGGCAGTCCGCGCTTGATTCTTTCAATGCTACTGCTGGTCGTGCATGGGATATTGGCCATTGCACCAGTGATGTGAGATTCGTTTTCCATATTCCACATTCCACACACTGACAATTGATAGGATCTCAACATCCTCTTTGATCAGTGGACCGGCGGTCAGGAAGGTCTCTATGAGGCTGGAATCCGGGGTGTCCGAGAGGTGCAGTACCAGGAGGCTGAATTCATCAAGAACTACAAGCCTTCACCGCCGCGTCGAGCTCGCGCTCCTCGCCCGTTGGCTCCGGTTCTTCAGCCGCTTTTCGGTGCTACTCCCGTGGGCCCGTATCTTTCGCAGCAGTCCGGCCACGAGGTGCTCGCTTGGATGGCGTCCATCGCGCCCAAGATTTCGCCTCCCAAATGCCCTCATGCCCCAAACAACGACAATCATGTCTGCATCGATTGCATCCTTGAGGGTCGCGACACGCGCACCACCGTAAGTTTCTCATCCTTTCCTCTAGACTGAGTGCGCATGCTGAGTCTCAAGGTCATGCTTCGCAACATCCCCAACCGTGTAGATGTGGAGCAGTTCATTGATATGCTCAATGAGTATGCCGCGGGTGAATATGACTTCACCTATCTACGCATTGACTTCCACACCAACAACAATGTTGGATATGCGTTCATCAACTTCATCTCTGATGCGGGGTTGTTGAGCTTCCTGTATGGTGTCGATGGCAGGCAGTGGGCTCGCTGGAACAGCAACAAGGTTGCTCGCGTCTCCTACGCAACTATCCAAGGCCGAGACAGCCTGATCCAGAAGTTCCGCAATTCATCGGTGATGTTTGAGAAGGAGGAGTTCCGTCCTCAGGTGAGTTGCTCCAGGAATGCACCCATCCGATCGTGCTAACGCAGTCTCAGCTTTGGTATTCTCGTGAGAATTGTGATGTGTCTCACCCGTTGGGCACCAAGGAGGCCTTCCCTCGATGCAACAATCAGGGTCAACTCAATCGTTCCATTGCGAACGCTGCTCATCAGGGTAAATTCCAAGCTCTTCTTATTACTTGCCTGCATGTTCATTGACCCGCTCTCAGGCTTGTTCTCTCCCAGGAACTCCAATCGCCACCGCCACAGCACCAGCACCAGCCATGCGCAGTCTGTTCATCATCAGGGTCCGGCCCCGATGTACCAGAACGTGTCTCAGTATGACTATGGCAATGAGTATGCCACTCAGAACGGTCATCACGACTTTGGCCAACACGACTTTGGCCATCAGAGCTTCGCTTCTCGCAGCCCTGTCCATCAGAGCTTTGGCCATCACAACTTTGGTCATCCAAGCGTTGGTCAGGCCAACTCCGGTCATCAGAGCTTCGGCCAGCAGAGTTTCGGCCAACAAAGCTTTGGTTGTCGCAGCCCTGGCCATCCGAGCTTCGGCCATCATAGCCCTGACCAACAGAGCTTTGGTCGTCGCAGCCCTGAGCATCGCAGCCCTGGTCATCTCACTCCGGGCCATCGCAGCCCTGCCTTTGGCGACATACATCGCAGCCCTGGCTTTACTGACATGCCCCGCAACACTCGCGCTCATCCTCATCAGAACGGAGGCGCCAATGGAGGTTTCATTCAGCGTCCCCACCGCGACTCTCCCACCCATTGGGGCTATTAACTTCGCAATGCGGGCTGCAGACTGCATCGCATCTGCTCGATTCACTCCGAGTCTTTCTTTCTTTCACTGAAATTTCCTATGGACTTCCATTCCCATCACATTCCTGTTTTCCTTTGACTACTTTCACTGCTCCTGCTTTCCAATCGCTCTTCACGCGGTTTTCCATGCCTGTTCCTCATGACTCCGAGGAATGCCAGGCGTTGTGCACTTGGGTGTCTGAGCTGGATACTTCGGTGAACACCATGTTATCGACCTCTATCACTTCTGCCATATGATGAAGTTTCCCAACAAATTATAGAAGGCGATCGGTGTTTCGGAGTTCCTATTGCGATCCCCCACGGACACCACTCATTCAGCGCACCCCACGCTGATTCATGTTTTTCCTTGCTCTTATCTTCCCATTTCGTTTCAACGATCTTCACACTCATTCAATCTTATCACACATGATGCGATTCTCAGTCTTTTCTGTTTTCTTTCATTTCTTTCGTTACTCGTTTCTCTTTCGTCCACCCATCATGAAATGCACTCTATTTCACATCACTGGCGCACGACGGAAGTTGATATGGCGGTTGGCCTTGGCGTCGGCCATTGGCGTTGAGGAATACGATTGATCGGTGTTGCGGCACTGGGTCGGCTGGGTGGTTGGCGATTCTTTAGGGGGATCCCTGTCGTTGTTGTTGTTCGCACCAAAAGCTAGTTCGCTGATGATCCTGTACGCCTTCGGGTGCTTAGCTAGATCGTTCCTCCCCATCATAGCAATGGAATGGAAGTCCAACCAATCTGTTTCCTGCCTCTTTTGACGTGATATGTGATATGGATGCAGTATCTCGATCGGCAACCAGTGGTTCGTTTGTGTTGGTAAGGTCCTTCACGCAGCCCGGAATATCGATGTTCATTGTTGTGGGAATGCCGACGTTCGTTGTTGTGCTCAGAACTGCATGCTTCCGCGAACAGTATAACGCAGGTTACGTGAACATCCCACCCACGATTGTGGAACGATTTGCTGATGAAAACCCAATCTCGTATCGGCCGCATCTCACACTTTTTGTGCGCTCGTCCCAATATTCGGCCGGGTGGTCGCACTTTTCGCTCGTCTCGCGCTTGTCTCCGCACCTGTGCTGGGTGGCTCACTTGATGCTTGTCTCGCGCTTGTCTCACAATTTTTTTGGTAGGCGGTCTTACTACGCACTCATTTCGTCAGTTTGCTCTATGTTCTTACTCTGCACTCATCTGATTGATTTAGCAACGCGTTTTCACTTCACGCCACTCTCTCAACAAGCCATGTCGGGCAGCGATACCTAACATCCTAGTCCACATAGAGTGATAGGGATATCTCGAATTCATTCCTGCTTCGATTCTGCGCTATGAGTGTCATCGAGCTGATGGGAGTCCTGTCCACTAGTGCTGATTGAGCAACACAATGAAGGGGGTGGCAGTGTAAAATGTGGCGCAGGTCGTTCAAGGGAGTCGATGATGTCGGACTGAAGTGACGGGACCTCAGCCGGGCGAGAATGATGCAGCAATGAGGTATGTGGCGTAGTAGGGGATTAGGGGGGGGCTGCTGTGAGTATCACTATCCTAAGCACAATGTCAATGTTGCTGATTAGGTATGTGGGTATCTGGGAGATGGTATGAGAGCTGGGTGGGTGCTACCATTCCTGATGACTTTGAGGATGATGTGGACGTGAATGATGAGAAAAGAGAGGAGAGTTTGGGAGAATAGAACCGTTTTGGGAGAAGTTCCCTGGAGAAGAGAAGGTTCGTGGAGAAGAGAAGTTCCCTGGAGAAGAGGAGTTCCTTGAAGAAGCGTTGTCTAGATACTAACACGTTCTTCGAGACCGGGGTATGCCGAGACGATCAGGCACACCACATACCAGAGGGAGGGATATGCAAACACAAATGGAGACATGGAGACAGGCGGATCGTCGAAGGAAAGCGGCCATGCGAAGGAGCCGGTTTTCGGACGTTTTGGGGGGGGGCCAGGCGTAGGATTCAGAGCCAAGGAGGTGGGGATGGTATAGCTTTCCATTGTCAAAGAGCTCACAGAAGACCTGGTTGAGTGTTTAACCCCCTATGCAGAACAGGGTCCTAGGGGGTTGGGTGACAAGAAGCCGGATATCTTTTCCTTTGAGCGTCTGTCTCTGCGATAAGGGTGCGGACGCTAAGCCAGTTTGGTATTGAGGGTGGTGAGCTGGGTGCTAGGTTGTAATATCCCGGGGCACGCGTCGATAGAGATGGGGATATCAGCGGATATCGTTGCTAAACAGCAGTTATATGGGCAAATCCGACGGCGGCCTTCATCATGGATTGATGCCTGGCAAAGCAAATCGTGGGACTGGGGTAGGACCCGATGACACGAAAGGCGGTGCATCCAGACGGTAAGGCTCCATCGGCAGACTCACGAACATCGACATGAAGGTCGCTCATCAATATCAAGAGTTTTTAGGGGACACCAGCTGCTCATCTCGAAGGACTGGAGATGTTAACATGGTATCATACGTAAACAGATCTAGATGAGATTGTACTGAGCAGGAGGGTGCAAAGGAGAGAACATAGGAAAGGAAGGAGCAATTAATAATAGAGCAACATATATTATTGTTTACAGTCGCGAGCAGAATCGGATTCCAGTTTTACACTTTGTGACTTTGTCACTTTGAAGTCTTTGATTTGTTCTCACTGCACGGTCCTCCTAACTAGGGGATCTCCTACTTTGTCTTAACTAGTTAGCCCATTCGAGGGGTAGCATTGTAAATCTGTGCGGAATAAAAAATCCCGCTTTCCTAAATTCCATAATTAATCCACCATTTCAACTGAACGATCGCTCTCTTAGACTCATCCAAATCATGTGATTTATTCTTCACAGTACATCATGTTACTTAGGAAATTACATCAGTAATAGAACAGTCATACCTCCATTCTATAGATCTTTTCTACGCATCCTCGTTTTCAAGTGCGTGTAAAATGAGTCATTTTTGCTCTTCAAGCTGCTGGTTTGCTCAGGCATAGCCTCACTGCCATGCAGAATACTAGCACCATCGGTGGGTATCTCTCTAAGCTCCTCTTTATCATTATCAACTGATGTCCTGCTCAGTCCTTGTCTTTCCTCCCCTGCCTCCTGTTGCATAGCTGTAAAATAATTAAGACACGCAATAGTTTTCGGGTGCTGGGAACCGAGCTTCTGCTTGTAGCCATTGGATGCTCTCTGGTAGAGCTCGGACGCCTCCCTATATCGCCTGCGCTTGTGTAAAAGATAGGCAAGGCAGTAGACGGAAGTTAGTGTATCAGGATGATCTATTCCAAGCTCCTTTTCCCTCTCTTCGAGCGCTCGCCGGTTCAGCTTCTC